TTTTTGAGACAGAGTCTCACTCTGTTGTCCCAGCTATAGTGCCATGGCATCAGCCTAGCTTATAGCAACCTCAAACTCCTGGGCTCAAGCAATCCTCCTGCCTCAGCTTCCCGAGTAGCTGGGACTACAGGCATATGCCACCATGCCCAGCTAATTTTTTCTATATATATTTAGTTGGCCAATTAATTTCATTCTATTTTTAGTAGAGACGGGGTCTTGCTCTTCCTCAGGCTGGTTTCGAACTCCTAACCTTGAGCGATCTGCCCACCTCGGCCTCTCATAGTGCCAGGATTACAAACATGAGCCACCGCATCCCGCCTAAACTATGGATTTTGGATGATGATGTGTCAGTGTAGGTTCAGAATTGTAACAAATGTACCACTCTGGTGTACAATGTTGATAATGGGGGAGATTGTGTGTGGTGGTGGTGGGGACAAGGGTATACATGGAAAATTTCTATACCTTCTGCTCAATTTTGTTGTGAACCTAAAATTACTCTAAAAAATAAAGTCTATTAAAAAAAAGAAGCTAAAAAGTAACAAAGTCAGTGTGGGGCCAAAGAACTCACAGAAGTTTGGCCCGTTTTAAGTGAGGCCCTCTTTGAGTGCTCATCTGTGTCCCCACCCATCCTCTTTCACATCCTTTCTTGGGGCAGTCCCTCATCCTTTCTCAAGACTCTGTCCTTCTCTTTTCCCTTTTCTCTTTGGGGAGACAAAAGGAGTGACCAAGGACAAGGGTTGGGGGTGGCTGTAGAATGCAGATCATTGAGTTCAATAAAATAAAATTAGTTCTTTGGTCACGATAGCCCCAAATAACAAATTTGACCAAATCCTTAGCTCATGAGTGATATTTGATATTTTATAGTGCCCCAGCGGTCAGATAGCTGTTACTGGGTACTCTTCTCATTTCTATTTTTTCTCCAAGGCCCCCACAGTATTTCCATGGAAGTCATTCCTTTATCCCCTGGTAGTGTCAGAGGGAGTTAGTCACATTTTATAGCCTTGGGCAGAAATGCTTCTTCCAACTGTGCTTTGGTATTATAAGAAAGAAGGGCCATGAAATCCATCACTATGCTTTGAGAAAGTTGTTAGGACACTTTCCTAGACTTCATTGGGAGGACTCACAGGAGACACATTAGTTCTAGAAGAGTTGCACTGTACTTATGAAACTGGTGTGTTTGTTCTTTAGAGACACTATGCATTTGTAACAGGTTTCTCTCTGTTGATTACCAGGAATCTCTGAGCCAACTTTTATACTATTTATGGTAAAGACTTCATGACTTGCATCTATGTCTGTACTTTTACTTTCCCTTTGCTATATGTTTCTTATTTCAAATTTATTTTATCTTGTTATAGTTATTTTTGGATAGGAAAATCCAGAGAAAAGTGAGCTCTTAAAGCTCCATTAATAGGATGTAGGCCTGCCACAAATTACCCACAGTATGGTGGGAGCTGTGTTAGAAAATGCAATGCCCTTTTGGGGACCGTGGCAATCCCTATGGTATGGATAAATATAGCAATGGATGTGTGGATTGCACCCAAGTCATGATGCCCAGGAATCACTGAATTTATAGTAAAGCAGGAATCTAGGAAGGTCTTTTTCCATTTGGTTGTTAATGAAGATAAGATTCTTCTACAGCAGAAAAACTCAAGTGACCCAAAGGAAGTGATTCACAGGGGACGAAACTAGAGAGTGGTGACAGAAGGGTAAGATGGTGTCCAGAGGGAAAGCAGGCACTGCCAAGCAGAAACTACAAAAAAAATAAATAAGCATTTATTGAAAAGCAAGTATTCATAAGCTATCCAAACCAGGGTTATAAGCTTCCAGCAAAGTGGCTAGAATCTCTGCTGATGAATTGAAGGAAATTTGCAATAAGGAAAAATACACCCATCTCAAAAGAAATCTAGTTCATAAGGTCAGCCCAACCCAAAACAACATCAGTGAACAGGAATTTGGTTTACTGAACAATACCAATCTTAGCCCCACAGTGGCCAACTCATTCCTTTCCAAAGAGCACACAGTTCACACCTATTTTTATACTGAAAATTCTTCAGAGAACCTTTGGGAAAAAAATCCTGGATAGTCAGGAACCCTCAAAATATTTGGCTTTGTTTCCTTGTGCAGTTGCATGGTGGTATGTGTCCCCTTCTTACTATGTTAGCAATGGCCAACTTCACTAAGGTGCCACAAATGGGGGAGTGAAACTCTGATTACCTTCCACATGGAAACTTTCTTAGGTAAAGGAGACGGGAATGAATGCCCTGGTCCTGTTGACATGGGCATTTGGAAGCCCCGTGACAATTCCTTCTCATTGAGTGCCACCTCCATCACCTGGCTTCATGAACCAGAATATGTATGCAAATGGAGTCAGTTATGTATGACCAAATTATACCGGCCACATGCTCAAGTAGGAACTTAGCCTCTGCCACCAAAGTATTCACACATCACTTCTGTGACCCCACTAGCCCCACAAAGAAGGCCTCACACATATTTTCAAACCAGCCTGTCAGTCTGCCTCTTCTTCTTTAGCTTTGGCTTCCCTTGGTCTAGTTCCCCTGCCCTTGAAGCCAGTAGATAGAGTCTCAGGGTGGCCAGAGTTGAAGGGACTCAATATGAGGACACCAAAGTGTGTGCCAAAGCCATGTCTCCAGGCTTCTAAAACCACCTGCCTTAGGGAGAGGAACAGGGCTGGTTCTGGGCAGAGGTAGGGAGAATGTAGTATGTTCTATCTATATGCCAAAGTGGCTCTATTTATACCCACAAAGTCTCTCATCCAAGTTTTCTGTCAACTTTTTGTTCATAGTGGTTCAATTCTAGTTCAAAGACCAGATAGAGAGTCAACATACGACCTTGGGCAAATTACTTACCCTCCTTGTGCCTCAATTTTCATCTGTAATATGAGGATAATGAAAGTACCTACTTCAGATTATGTGAAAAAATTCATGTAAGCACATAGCACAATGTCTAACACATAGTAAATGCTCAGTAAATGTTGGCTGTTATTATTATTTTTACTATAACGATTACACACTGGAGAGTTTGGCTACATTAAGTGTCTGATCCCCAGCTCAGCTTGCCAAAGTCTACTGTTAAATAAATTAGCATTCCAGTTTCATCCATCAGGTTTACAAGCTAAGCTAAGGATTCTGAATGGTGAGGCTGAGGACAGATGTGGCGGGGGCACATTCACCTGAGTTGTGAGGCTTCTCTGGAACCAGCTTGCTGCCCTCCCGGGACATACAAAACCTCTCCATTATCCTTCCAGTTGAAACTCCTACGCTGTGATGCTAATCGTCTATTCATATTCCCACGGAAGAAGAAAGTGTTTTTAAGCATGGTGAGAATACCTATGGGCATGACATTTCTTTTTTTTTTTTTTGAGACAGAGTCTCGCTTTGTTGCCCAGGCTTGAGTGCCATGGCGTCAGCCTAGCTCACAGCAACCTCAAACTCCTGGGCTCAAGCAATCCTTCTGCCTCAGCCTCCCGAGTAGCTGGGACTACAGGCATGCGCCACCATGCCCAGCTAATTTTTTCTATATATATTAGTTGGCCAATTAATTTCTTTCTATTTATAGTAGAGACAGGGTCTCACTCTTGCTCAGGCTGGTTTCGAACTCCTGACCTCAAGCTATCCACCCGCCTCGGCCTCCCAGAGTGCTAGGATTACAGGCCCGAGCCACTGCGCCCAGCTGACATTTCTAAATGTCTCGAGAGAGCTTGAGATCTTTTCTCCCCCACCCCTCCCTTGCTCGACTCAGTGGGTCTCTGTTTTCTTTCTTAGCCAGGCAATTTGGTACTGCGCGCCAGAAAACTTCTTGAGAAAAGTCTTTGCCAAAGTACAAAACCAAGGAAAAAGGATAAAAGCAACAATTTTGGACCAGGCTGGCATGAACTGTGATCCCAGTCTGCCATACTTATTTTTTTTTATTCTAAAATAACAGAGATAACATACACAATGGACTTTCTAACTTGCTACTTTTCCCTTATCTTCTTTCCCTTTGTGAGCCCAAGACATCATGTTCTTTCATACAATCCCTCAAAAAAAAAAAAAATCCCTCTGGCCATTCCAGTTCACTGCTGCCCCAGAGAAGAACAGACTATCTGATATTTCAGCTGGAAGGCAGGGTGGCAGATTCTTTCCAATGGGGTGGTGACTTCCTCCCTACTTTCAGAACACACCCCTTCCCAAAAGTACGCCCTCCTGGGCAAGCAGCACAAAGGCTGCAGACCCGGCTCTGGGCGTCAGCAAATGCCCACATCCCTTCCTTTTCCTTTTACACCCAGTGGCCTGGGAATGGCACAAGAGCCTGGGGAATCCGCACCACCAATCTGTGTGTGGCCTGGTCAGGCCTGGGAGTGGCCTTGCCCTCATGTCTTGCCCTCTTGGTCCATCTTCCAAACCAACTGCCAGAAGTGATTTTCCTGAAATCCAAATCTGATCATTTTATTTCATCTGCTCTAATAATTTGGCATGGCCTTTTGGCCTCCAGTAAGGGTTTTCAAACTCCAACCTGGGATCTACACATGGTTACCTAAAAAAGAATCACCTTATTAAGATGCAGATTCTACAGTTTGGGGTAGAACCTGGGGATCTGTATATACCAGTATGGATTCTTTAGGTTGCAGGTGACAGAATATTACCTCAAACTATCTCAGAAAAGGAATATATTATTTCTTCTGACTAGGAAGTTCAGGGGGTAGACCTGTCTCAAAATACATGTGTGATTTTAATTGACAGAGGTGCCAATGTGATGACATGGAGAAGTCAATGCCATTGAAAGAATTTATTACTTACATTTCCCAAGAAATGCATGCCTCACCACACAGGGCCACATAGAGAGGTTTGGTCAGGAGGCAGAAAGGAGTGAGGGGTCTCAGGAGTCAGGGTCTCATCAAACTTCCATCAAGGTGGCTGCTACAAAAGAATTAATTTCCAAGCTCATTCAGGTTGTTAGTAGAATTCATTTCCTTACGGTTGTGGTCTCTTGTTTTCTTGCAGGCTGCCGGCTGGGGGCTGCTCTTAGCTGCTAGGGGTTGCCCACAGTTCCTGTCCATGTGGCCCTCCCAGAGAACTTCAAGCAGAGGGAACAGCAAATGCAAAGGTGCAGAGGCAACTGAGAACATGGCAAAGGGCCAGGGAACTTCTTCCAAGCAAGCAATGGAGAGATAGTCTCTCTAGTATGTGCTAGCAGGATGGAACCTTATGTATATCATTGTAAGTTTAATCACCTTTACTGGATTCTATTGGTTATAAGCAAGTCAAAGGTCCCACGCACACCCGTGCAGGGTGTGAACATAGGGGCCACTCTAGAACCTGTCTTCCACAATTAGCTATGATTTATTGAGAGTTTACTGTGTACCAGATATTATAGTAGGCACTTTCCACTAATTTATTTCATTTAATCCTCAAACTACCTTATGAGATAAATTCTATTAGCACTGTTGTGCAGATTTGAAAACTGAAGGTCAGAGAAACTGGTGTTTGACTTGTTCAATGACCCACAACCAATAAATGACAAATCTGGGATTCAAACCCAAGTCTGTTTGATCTTAAACACCTCTACTTTTCTAATATCTCCCTTTAAATAATTTGTTCCAGAAAACTCTTAAAAAAATTTCCAGTGACCTTCACATCTATCTCTTTGTGCCTGTGTGTGTCCATCGATCAGCTCCCAGTTATTAGAGAGTGCATGTGGTATTCGTATTTCCATTCTGTCCACTTCTTCCTCTTTCTCAAGGGTAACAACAGAAGTTGAAACACACACATTCTTTGCTTCTTGGATTCATATTTTGAAGCATAGTCAGGATGAATTCTTCCTGCTAAGAAGAATTCAGCCCTTCTAGGAAATGTTATGTTGCAGAATTAGGGCAGGCTGCCAAAGCAGGAGACAAAACCTGACCTGGATTTTCTCAATGCCGTTAGAAAATAATTACAATAATACCTCATTGTTAGGATATGATACCTCATATGAAGTATAATAATGCCTCATAGTTATAAGTGTAGTGAGTTATCAATGGCTGTTCATTTTGTTCTCAGTGTTCCTGCGAGTTAGCCAGGGCAAGGATCTTACTTACCGGGTGTCCCAAAAGTCACCATAGATAGGAAAAATGAGAAATTATAGCTATGTACCTTTACTTACAAAATATTCATTAAAAAATTTTACAAAATTTTTCCTTTGTATGAAGATTTTTGGGACACCCTATATTTACTGTGGGGGTTATTCTATATGTACGATTTTATATTTTGGCTTAAAAATTTTATGTTGTCACGTAGACTTTTTTTTTTGTATACTTATACTATATATATACTAGACCTGATTTTATTTTTCTTTTTTTCCCTCTTTTTTATTTTTATTTTTTATTTTAGCGTATTATGGGGGTATAAGTGTTAAGGTTACATATATTGCCCATGCTCCCCCTCCCCCCTCGAGTAAGAGCTTCAAGCATTAGACCTGATTTTAAATGGCTGCTTAATCTTCAATTCAATGGCTATATCCTAGCTTACTAAGATGTTTCCCTGATTTTGGCTGTGTGGGTTGCTTCTAGTTTTCTACTGTTACAAAAAATATTATAATGAACATTTTTGGTCAAAAATGTTCTCCTTTAAAAAAAAAAAAAAAAAAAAAAAAAATGTTCTCATACATATATGAACACACACATGCTTAGGATAGAGCCCCAGAAGAAGAATGGTGGACAATAGTGTCAAGGCTCTTGGTGCATATAGAGATGTGATTATAACCCCAATTTATAGATAAGGAAATAGACTCAGAGTGAGACTTGCCCAAGTTTATATGGCTCATAAATGCACAGCTGAAACTTGGATCTATGTCTTATGCTTCCCATACTGATTTCTTTCCTTAAAACTTGCTACACACTGTGTGGTCCGTGGACCAGCAGCATTGGTAAATCCTGGTAGCCTGTTAGAAATTCAAAATCCTAGGCCCCACCCAGGACCTGGTAAGTCGGAATCTGCATTTACCATTATCCTGAGATGCCTCTAAACATATTAAAGTTTGAAAATCACTGCTTGCAACATATCCTCCCTTATAAGCCTGTGAAATGCTTTGAAATGAGACAAAAAAACCACTGGCTTTGGGGTCACCAGTTTCGCCTCAGCTTTGAAATATCTCTGTCACACTTCCTTGTTTAAGGGCTGTATGCAATGTGCTCCCCTCAAGAAAGGATTTGTTAATTTCATTGTAAAACATCAGAATTTTTACTTACTTCTGTATTGTCCCGGGATATGGCCAAGCACTCCTGCTCAAAATCACATATGTAGCATTTCGGAATAACTTTCAGTGAGGAAGTATCACAGTGAGGGAGAAAGAGCGTTTCAGCAGGAGCTCTGGCCCAGGTTTCACCAATAGCAAGCTGGGTGACCTTGGAGAGCCATTGAACCATACTTTATTGAGTTAGATAATATGATGAGAACACATTTTATAAACCATAAAGCACTGGACGAATCTGTGGGAAGCATATATTTAGATATCATCTTTCTCAAATGAAGGTATTCAGACCACATGACCCTTGGGGCAAATATTCAGAGAACCAAATCCTTCTGAGGATGCCTATTTTGGACTGGATCCCACCTGTGCTCTCCAGGGATATAATGACAGAGAGATATGAATCAAATCAAGATGGCTAGAGTGAGAGCTTGGATCCCCAAAGGGTCTTCAAAGTCCCTTTTAAATCTAAAAACTTATGATCTTATACTATTCTGACATGAAAAAAAAAATCATAGAATTCTAACATCAACTGGTCATTCTGTGCAGTATTCTGCTTCCAGGAAAGAAAGCAGCTCTTCTATTCTTTAAGAATTTGGATTTATAGAAGAGTAGATTTCACCACCAAAAAAAGATAAGTATGTGAGGTGACAGATTTGTTAACTGGCCTGACTTAATCATTCCACGTTGGAAACATTTATCAGAACATAACAATGTACCCCATAAATATTTATAATTATTATTTGTCATTTAAAAATGAAATTTAAAGCCAGGCATGGTGGCTCATGCCTGTAATCCTAGCCCTTTGGGAAACCATGGCAGGAGGATTGCTTGAGGTTAAGAATTTGAGACCAGCCTGAGCAAGAGTGAGACCCTGTCTCAAAAAAAGAAAAAAAGAAAATTAAAAAAATGAATTTGTATTTATTTCAAATCCCATTTCTGAGATCAAAGTATTTCCTTTTGTATGTGATTTGATTAATTTCATTTGCCTTAAGCACATTAAGCAAGTCTTAGACCAGGCCTTCCCAATCAGATGTAATTGCTGACGTGGCTGATCTCTGGTCCATTTTCCTTTTCTCTTTCCACACATAACATGTCTTAGAGGAAGGAAATTAAAAGTTTTATACAATCTCTCTATTTTGTAACCACATTTCTAAAACTTAAAGTTGAACATCACTATGACTGAATAAGTGGCCCTGATTTAGCCGTTGGAAAACCAGATAGTTAAAGGAATTCATATGTCACATGCAGAGGATTTTTAAAAAAATAGCCAATGGTGGCTATTTACCCTAAACCTCACAGTAATGTCCTCACAATAAGGAAACAGAGATGTTTTTGAGACTACATTCCAAAATTTTTCTTTTGTTTTAATATATTACATAATCTGTTCTCTTATAATAAATCAGATTAAATATGTTTTTCTTTTTTTTCTTATAGCTCCTTTGATATGGGTGTGAAGTGTTACATTGAGCTTTTGGATACTGAGGGGTCAGTATTTCTAAAATCTCCAGGTTTCTAAACTGACTTTTTGCTTCCTTAAGAAAAAAAAAAAAAAATAAAAAATAAAAAAAAAATAAAATCTCCAGGTTCCAAGAAAAAAAAAAAGAACAGAGAATAGTTCTGTCACTTTCAAGAGCAGAATATTTGCACAAGGGTCTATTACTTTAGGCAATTAACTTGCATATTTAGGCACTGATGGGAATTAATCGTGCATTCATTTCACACACATTCGGTAAAAGCCTATTATGTGTCAGGCATGTTTAAAGATCTCAGATGAAACACATTTTTCCTGCCATCAAGGTGCTTTGAGTGGAATGGTCCTACTAGGTGCCAGGATGAGGATAAGCACAGGATGCTTTGGAGATATCAAGGACAGCCACTTAATTCTTCCTAAGGGGTTAGAGAAGCCTTCCTAGAAGAAATGTCCCTCAGGCTGAGGAGGCGATAGTCAGGGGAATAAAGGAGTGAAGGGTATTTCAAGCAGAGGGAACAGCAAATGCAAAGGTGGAGAAGCAACTGAGAACTTGGCAAAGAATTAAGTATGGTTGAATCATGGCAGATGTGTGGAAGAACTGGGTAAGATGTAAGAGTAGGTGGCAAGATACAGTGTAGTACTTGCAGACAGACTGAGCCAAAGTCTCCATTGTACAAAGATTTCAGAGAGAAGAGTTGCATGCAGGTACTTTAGAAATAATACCTGCTTGGAGTGATCTTTAGTCTAGAGAAGGTATCATATCAAGAAATCCATTGGCATCATCCCAAATTAAAGCTTATATTTCTTTCTCTTCTTGCTTGGGTTTACTCTTTTTTCCCAACTCCTTTGAATGTAACTGCTTCATCTTTCTCTGAAAGAAAATAAAATCTCAGCACTGGCAGCTTTTGATGCACTGTTCATTTGATCTGGTTGATTCAGGAAACAGATGCATCCTCTCGGTCTCAGCACAAATCATTGGGGTTTCTTTTTTTTGGTTTCACCAAAGCCAGATCTATGTCTCAATCAGCACAGAGGAAAAAAGTAATTACTGAAGTATTAGTGTTATTATTATTTCCTGATATGAACTGCTGCATTCCTTACTTGTAGCTGTTTTTTTCCCCTAGGCTGGAGTTAAAAAATGTAAAACAAATCCCTTTTTCTAGAAAAAATTTTTAAAATTTTTAATTTAAAAATCTTTTTATCCAGAGAGAGAAAGTGGACAAATCCTTTTTAGATAAAGCCTACGTTAATTATTTTTAACCCTGTTTGCATCAGAGACCTCTTTGAGACTTTAATTAAAAAGATAGGCCGGGCGCAGTGGCTCACTCCTGTAATCCTAGCACTCTAGGAGGCTGAGGCGGAGGCCGAGGTGGGCGGATTGCTCGAGGTCAGGAGTTCGAAACCAGCCTGAGCAAGAGGGAGACCCCGTCTCTACTATAAATAGAAAGAAATTAATTGGCCAACTAATATATATAGAAAAAATTAACCAGGTATGGTGGCGCATGCCTGTAGTCCCAGCTACTAAGGAGGCTGAGGCAGCAGGATTGCTTGAGCCCAGGAGTTTGACGTTGCTGTGAGCTAGGCTGATGCCACGGCACTCACTGTAGCCTGGGCAACAAACTGAGACTCTGTCTCAAAAAAAAAAAGAAAGATAAACCCTCTCCTCAAGAAATCTCATGTTTTGGCCGGGCGCTGTGGCTCACGCCTGTAATCCTAGCTCTTGGGAGGCCGAGGCGGGCGGATTGCTCAAGGTCAGGAGTTCAAAACCAGCCTGAGCAAGAGCGAGACCCCGTCTCTACTATAAATAGAAAAAAAAATTGGCCAACTAATATATAT